TTGGGAGATTGTAGGAGTCCAAGAATTTATCCATTTCCTCTAGGTTATCCATTCCGTTGGCATATAGTTTTTCGTAGTATTCTCTTATACTCCGTTGTATTTCTGCAGAGTCTGTTGTTATTTCTCCTCGCTCATGTCTGATTTTGTTTATTTGAGCTTTCTCCATTTTTTTCTTTGTAAGTCTGGCTAGGGGTTTGTCAGTTTTATTTATCTTCTCAAAAAACCAGCACTTTGTTTCATTGATCCTTTCTACCGCCTTTTTCGTTTCAATAGTATTTATTTCTGCTCTGATTTTTATTAATTCTCTCCTGCTGACTTTGGGCTTTATTTGTTCTTTTTCCTCTAGTTTAGTTAGGTGTAGTTTAAGATTGCTTATTTGGGATTTTTCTTGTTTTTTAAGATGTGCCTGTATTGCAATGAGTTTTCCTCTTAATACAGCTTTTGCTGTATCCCATATGAGTTGGTATGGCATGCTATCATTTTCATTTGTTTCCAGGTGGTTTTTGACTTCTTCTTTAATTTCTTTAATGATCCATTGCTTGTTCAGTAGTGTGTTGTTTAGTCTCTACATCTTTGTGCCTTTCTCAGCTTTTTTCTTGTAATTAATTTCTAGCCTTATAGCATTATGATTGGAAAAGATGCTTGTTATTATTTCAATTTTTTTAAATTTGTAGAGGCTTGCCTTATTTCCCAACATATGGTCTATCCTTGAGAATGTTCCATGTGCACTTGAGAAGAATGTGTATTCAGCTCTTTCAGGGTGGAGTGATCTACATATGTCTATTAAGTCCAATTGTTTTAGTTTTTCATTTAGCTCCACTATTTCCTTGTTGATTTTCTGTCTGGATGATCTGTCCATTGATGTGAGTGGGGTGTTGAGGTCCCCTACTATTATTGTGTTGTTTTTAACATCCTCCTTTAGGTCTGTTAATAGTTGCTTTATGAATCTTGGTACTCCTGTGTTGGGTGCATAGATATTTATAAGCGTTATTTCTTCTTGATGAAGTGTCCCTTTGATCATTATATATTGTCCCTCTGTGTCTCTCTTTACCTGTCTTATTTTGAAATCCACTTTGTCTGATTTAAGAATTGCAACACCTGCCTTTTTTTGCTTGCTATTAGCTTGAAGTATTCTCCTCCACCCCTTCACTCTTAGCCTGTGTTTGACCTTGGGGCTGAGGTGTGTTTCCTGGAGGCAACAAATTGTGGATCTCATTCTTTAATCCATTTTGCCACTCTGTGTCTGTTTATTGGAGAGTTCAATCCGTTTACATTGAGAGTGATTATTGATGCATGTGGACTTAATGCTGTCAATCTGTCGCTCATTATCTTGTTTTCCTGCGTTTCTTTTCCTGTGTGCTTTAGCCTACACATTTAATACTGTAGTTTCTTATGCTGGGTTTCTTAGATTTTTCCTTATTTATGATTTGTGACTCTGTTCTGTATTCTATTTTAGTGTCTACCCTGAAGTTTGTATTTAGAATCTCGTGTATAATATAGTCTATTCTTTGGTGGTCTCTTACTTACTTGACCAATACTGATTTAGACCCTTTGCTCTTCCTCTCCTAAATAATTATTTTCATTTCTTATTCCAGCTCGTGTTATGAATTTGTAGTTAGAGTGAGAAGATCGTCCTTGTTTTGGTAGTTTCCTTACCTTTACCCTAATGCTATAGTTGAATATTTGCTATCCTGTTCTGGTTCTATCCATCGGTCTCCCTAGTCTGTGGATTGTGGCCCTTCTCTCCCTTTTTTCTTTTTTCAGGTATGAGAGCCTTCTTGAGGATTTCTTGTAATGGAGGGCTTTTAGTTACAAAGTCCCTTAACTTTTGTTTGTCTGGAAAAGATTTAATTTCTCCCTCATATCTGAAGGAAATTCTTGCTGGATAGAGTATTCTTGGCTGAAGATTTTTATCTTTTAAAGCTTTCAATATGTCACTCCATTGTCTCCTAGCTTGTAAGGTTTCTGTAGAGAAATCCACCGAAAGTCTGATAGGGGCTCCTTTGTAGGTTCTCTTCTTTTTTCTTACTTCCCTGAGTATTGTTTCTTTATCTTTCTTTCTTCCGATTGTACTACTATGTGCCTTGCAGTAGGTCTTTTTACATTGATAAATCTAGGAGATCTGAAAGCTTCCTCTACACACATTTCTCTGTCAATCCCTAGATTTGGGAAGTTCTCTTCAGTAATTTCGTTAAGCACACTTTCTGTTCCATTTTCCTTTTCCATGTTCTCGGGAATTCCTATGATCCTTAAGTTCTTACTCCTCATTGAATCCACTATCTCTCGGAGATTTTCCTCGTTTTTTTTCATTCTTAGGTCTCTTTCTTCCTCTCTCTGGAGCCATTCAGCCTGTCTATCTTCAATTATGTTAATTTGCTCTTCTATGGTGTCTACACGGGCATTGAGGGAATCCGTATTCTGTTTTATCTGGTCCATTGTGTTTTTCATCTCTAGTAATTTTGTTTGATTCTTCTTTATGATTTCAATCTCTTTTGTGAAGTAACTCCAGAACTCATTGGCTTGTTTCTCTATCTTTCTGTCTACTTCATTGAGTTTTTTGATTATAGCTGCTCTGAACTCATTATCACTTAGTTTACCTAATTCCAAGTCCTCAGGACTTAATTCTGTGTTTTTATTGTTTTCCTTCTGGTCTGGGGCTTTTATAAATTGCTGGATGGTAGAGGAGCGGTTTTTTCACATGGTGGTAGAATTCTGTTGCAGTTACAGCCTGTCGCCACTAGATGGAGGTCGAGTGCCTGCGCATTCTGAGTTCTCCGCCTTCGGGCAAGATGGTGGCGCCAGTGGCTTTGCCGGGAGGGAGGGGCTGCTGTTCTCGTACACTGATCTGGATTCAGGTCAGTTCTATTCTCTGGTCTCCCGAGGCCCTGGGTTTATGGGCTCCCCGCGCATGGAAGCTTTCCCCCCGTCAGTGGGTTTCCACTGAATCAGCGGCAGGAGTCCTGGATGATCCCCCGGTTGTGCAGCCCCTCCCCCACTCTTTCCCGGACCGCGCAGCAGCAATCGCAGACTCTAGGGGAGGGAGCGATGTTCTCTCCTACTGTTCCAGCGCCTCCGAGGCCATCCGCAGGTTTATGTTCTCTGCCTTCTTGGCATTGTAGGTCTCTAACGTGTTGGCATTAGACTTATTCTCTGAAATTCAGTTTTTCCAATCCTTTGTTGTATTTTGGAGGGGAGAGAATCCCAGGTCAGCTCACCCCGCCATTTTGCTCTGCCCCTTCTCCTTCCCAGTAGACATCATCTTCACTCCTGTTGACCAATACTCCGTCACACTGTAACTCTTAGCTGTGAGGGATGCTGGGAAGGTGAGTACCTGGCAGCTGAGTGGAATGGGATTATCCTCATTGACCTAGGTCAGTCGTGATTCATCCTTGGGAGAAGGTACATTGCCATGATGATAAAATTGGGATTCAGTTTTCAAGGAATAGTGTGTAGGCAATGGCTATTTTTAGACAGTAACATTATCTGCCACATTTGGCCTCTAGTCATATGCTGGTTCTCCATCCTTAGGAATGTATCACCTCTCCTTTACAGAATTTCACAGTCCTGGTGCTGAGGAGCTACTTAGAGACCATCTTATTCTGCTGTCCTCTTAAAGGATCACTGTCCAGGGCGACAGTGCTTGTTAGTGGCAGAGAGAGGACTGGAAGGCAAATCTCTTTGCTCCCAGGTCGCTGTTCTTTCCCACCGTGATCCATCTGGCCTAAAGTTTCTTTTAAAAGAGCCTTAGGAGAAAACTTCAAATGTGTGACCATTAAAACAAACAAACAACAACCAAAAAAAAGCAGGACAGTAAATTAATAGATAAATTTTTCTCTATCAAATTAAAACTGGGAAGTGGGCTGAGCATGGGGTGGGGAGACATCTGTGTTGCTACTTACACACTGTGGTATTGTTTGAATCTATTGCAATGGTATGTGTTTTCTTGATTAAATGTGTATTTTGGTAAAAATAATATGTGAATGTTGGTTTAAAAAAATCGAATAGTGCTGCTAGTGCTACTAGACTTGTCGTAATAATAAGAAAAACTATAGCTGTTTCTTTTTCCCCCATCACTAATTCCTGTTCCCAGAAAGAACCACTTTCAACCCTTAACTGCGACTTGATTTATTTATTCAATTTTCTAAGTCACATGTTTATCCTGCTATCATTTGGCACTTTTCAAATTTAGACTTTCTTTTTTTCACTATGGAAAATAAGATTTAACTCTCTTACCACCACCAATATCTCTGACACACATCACTCACACACACAAACTTCTTACTCCTTCCTTGAAATACAATTGTGTCACCATTTTGGATAAATTTCCATTTTATTTACTTAATATATCTTTTTAAATGTCTCAGTACAATAAAATACCTTAGGTGTTTTGCGTTTTCACAATTTTCTTGGTTATGTGCTTTCCTGAAGCTACGTGTCTTCTTGCTACATGTGAACTATTCATTCTCTGATACAGAGCTATTGATAAATTCATGGGATGTTTCCCACATAGGCACTCAGATTTCTTTTTTTTTAATAGTGGCACCTGAGCTAATAACTGTTGCCAATCTTTTTTTTTTTTTTCCTTTCCTGCTTTTTCTCCCCAAATCCCCCCGGTACATAGTTGTATATCTTAGTTGTGGGTCCTTCTAGCTGCGGCATGTGGGACACCACCTCAGCGTGGCCTGATGAGCGGTGCCATGTCCATGTCGAGGATCTGAACCAAGGAAACCCTGGGCCACCAAAGTGGAGTGCATGAACTTAACCACTCGGCCATGGGGCCAGCCCCTGTACTCCTATTTCTGTCCACCTTATGCCTAAGCTCCACATGAGCATACCAGTCATCCTTTACCTATTAGCACCTCTGTGGTCTGAATATTCTTGGCTTTTCTGATGGATCCAAGTATCATTTTGCTACAGGGTGACCTTTAATTTACCTTGTGGGTGCAGGTTTCTGAAACCACAAAGCACCCTGGTCTAATGGCTTTTATTCTCTTCTCCAGCGCTGCCTTCTCAGGCCCTGTCCATTCCCAAAAAGAAGAGGAAATGACTGAGTCCCAGGTAAATTTTTAATAGTGTATTTGTTACCTGCCTTATTCTACAGTGCAGTTTAAGGTGATTGGAGTAATCCATACAGTAAATTGGAAAATCCTATATAGATAAAACATACTTTCAAAGCAAATAGAGTTGGAAGATTAAGACCAGGGAAGAGTTGAAATATAGTTATGCAGAAATGCATTCATTCAGAGAGATTAAAGCTGGGCTTCACTTTCAATTTCAATAATTTCATTATTATATTGGTAAAGCAAACCAGAGCAGAAATTCATTGCATAATTGGCATTGTACTTAAGGATAAAATATTGCTACTCACAGCAATATGGAAAATCTCACAAACACGTGGAGTGAAAGAAGCCAGAAATAAAAGAGTTCATTCTATATGGATCCATTTGTATGAAGTTTGAAAACTAGGAAAACTAATCTATGAGAGAAGTCAGAATAGTGGTTACCCCTGAAGGAGTATTTGCTGGGAAAGAACATGAGAGAATCATCTGGAGTGCTGAAAATGTTTTGTATTTTGACCTGGGTGGTGGGTACACAAATATATAAATGTATAAAAATGTGTCATTTTATACTTAATTAATACATTTTGCCTCATTATTCTATGCGTGTCATACCTCATTTTTTTAAAAACAAAAACTAGCATATCTGACGAAATAAAGAGATGTCTTTCTGTCAAATGACCTTACATAATTATATTTTTTAATGGGCATTTGGTATAGATTGGGCTACAATCTAAAGTAATAATTTCTTGTAAATTCTTATAATTTTAGTCCACTAGAATGTGAACAGGGAGAATGTTTTATTTGGTTTATCGCTGTATCTCCAGCCCCTAGAACAATGCCTGCAATACATGGTTTTTCTGAATACTTGTCATTTTAATACATTGAATCCATGGCTCCTTATTTCTTCTTTATTTTACTCTTAGAATAAGTAATATCTGCCTCCTCTTCAAGGATATTTCCTTTTCCTCAGAAATTCATCCTTTTTCTTTACACATACTTTAAAATCTTTCTCTTTCAGATTTATCCTGCACTCTTAGCTATTGAACATATCTCATTTTACCACCTTTCTACCCTCAGCTCAAAGCTTTGGTATACTAAGATGCACCTTTCTTTGACCATGTGTCCCTATCTAGCAGCTTTTCTATATCTCTAGTTTTTTCCTCAAACTCAGTTAATTTTCAAAGTGAATACACCTGTGTAACCAGCACAAGCAGTTGATCAAGAAATACAACATTACCCTAACACCCGTTCAACTCCTTGTGTACTTTTGCAAGTCATAAGTCCCACCCCAAGGGTAGCCACTCTTCAACTTCTATCCCCATAGATTACTTCTACCTATCTTTTAACTTTATATAATGTATGTATTCTGTATGTGGCTTCTTTTGCTTAATACTTTGTCAGATTCATGTTGAATTCTTGCAGGTAGTTGTAGTTCATTTAATTGAATTGCTGTATATTAGTTATGTGAATAAACCACAACTTTATCTATTCTATTATTGATTGGCATTTAGGTAGTTTTTATTTTGGGACAATTACAAATATTGTTGCTATGAACTTTCTTGTTGCACAAATGTACACATTCCTTTGTATATATGCCAAAGTAGAATTGCTGAGTCGTAGGTTATTCATAAGAGCAGCTTTTATTGATACTGCCAGACAGTTTTCCAAAGTAGTTGTCCAAAATTACACTCTTAATAGCGTATGAGAGCTCCAGTTACTCCAAGACAACCATCTCGAGTGTATTTTCTATGCTCACTAGCCTGCCTTTTTTTATAATACCAAACTCATAGGCAATAAAAGAGAAGCTCAACTAAATTTGCATTCAGAAAAATTACATTTTCCTTTTTGATACAATCACCATAAATAAAGTAAATTGGCAAAACTTGGCAACAATTTTAGTAATACATATGGCAGACCCAGTCTGGTATTTAAATACATATTTACAAACCAAATTAAAATCTAGTAGGAAACTGTGTACAGGAGGTGAAAAAGAAATTCACGATTGAAAAAATAAAAGAGAACAAATGCCCAAGAAAATTGCAAATAATAATAAAACTACTGTCTATTGTTAATCAAAGCTTTACATGGATTGCCTTATATAATCGTCATAAGGAGTCTGTTTTCCTTTTTTTTTTCACGAGTGAGGAAGCAAGCACAGAAAGATTTGAGAAACTGGCTCGAGGGCAGAGGGGAAGGATGTGGTGGAATCAGGCTTCAGTCCCAGGCAGTATGACTGTGAAGCCTCTAATCTTAACTGCTGTCTCTGTGTCTCACTCATTAATGAAATGCAAATAAAATGATTTTTTAAAAAAATCATCAGATTAGTCCAGTTTTTAAAAAGTTCATCGTGTCTCGAATCTGATCACTTGTCAACATTTCCATAGATCTTGCTGTAACTCAGGCCGTATCGTTTCTTACCTGGAAGTACTTCAGTAACTGCCTACTAGTCTCCCTGCATCCATTCTTGTCATTCTCCATGGAACAACCAAAGCAATCATTTAAAACCTAAGGCATTCGCTTCTCTGCTTAAAACCATCTAATGGCTTCCCATTACACTTGGAATAAAATTCAGATTCCTTACTGTCCGTTACAAAACCCTACATGATATGCCTTCTGCCTGTGTCTTTACCATGATCTCATGCTACACCCTCCCTCATTCACTGTCTTTCAGTGATGCTACCATATTTCTCCTGTTGGAACAGACCAAGTTTCAGGAACTTTGAACATGCTATTAAAGCTACTAGAAAAGATCAATATCCCAGGTCAAACAGTCAGGCGTCTCTTACGCAGCCTTTTTGTTCTCTTCAGGTCTTCAATTGATTGGATGAGGCCCACTCATATTAGGGCGGACAATTTGCTTTACTCAGTCTGCTGATTTAAATGTTAATCTCATGTAGAACACCCTCACAGACACATTCAGAATAATGTTTAGCCAGACTGTGGCCCAGTGTTTATGTGTTTATCTGTTTAACACATAAAATTAACCATCACACTATCTTATCTGACATATTCACGTGTTTATGTTTTCATTTGTTTCTCCCAAGTAGAGTGTAAGTTCCAAGAGGGCTAGAACTTAGGTCTTTCTTACTGCTGTATTTTTAGGACCTAAACCAGTGCTGGGCACATCTGGTAACTCAGTAACATATTGACTAAAAACCCGTAACTCCAGGGCTCAAATAAGAATTATTTTCTTGTGCTCCTCAGTGACAATTAACATTCATAATGAAAACCTCAAGTCCTATAAGACCCTCGAATCACCTCTGAGTTATCAAAAAAAGGTTCAATCATTTAATCCTTCTGTTCCATTGTTTTAACATATAGTGAAAATATGTTGTGTGAAATAGGAGATGTACGAGGTGTTGCTGACCGAGACTACATTAAAAGAACTTGACACACTCTACCTAGGTGTTGAAGAAGAAGGAGGAATCAAAACTTACTGCCACAGTTCCATTTTTGGAAAAAGGTGGTTAATGTTGCTGTTAACCCAGATGGGAAAGTTAATAGCAGATGCTGAGTATGATATTATTCCTCACAAGCCTACTATGGAATAGGTAATGTTTCCTGAGATAGTGAACTATCAGAGGCAAACTCCCAACTGGATTCTAGGCAGTAAATAAATGTATGATAATTAGAAAACCACAATTTTCTACTAGAGAGTTCTCTAAGTTCTCAGTCTGTCAAAAAATCCAGGATTCTTTAAAGAATCTCCTCATTTTCCTAGCTGTTCCCTTTTCTTTTGAGAATGATTAAATATTCAAAGAAGATTTAAGAGAACATCTATTCCAACGTTTTCATTTAACAGATGGGAAGCTCTTGACCCAGAGAAATTTTAAACATTGTTTAAGTAAAGCCAGGAAATGCAGTTAAAAAAAAAGGAAAAATCTATGCGTTACTGTCAGGTAAGATAAAATTCAAGACAGTAAGCTTTAAACAAACAAAAAGCACAGTGCTTTAAAATGATGATGAGTGCAGCAGCAGATAAGAAAGATAAATAGTTAGGACTACTTCTGTACCAAATAAACTGCAGCAAATTCATATAAGGAACACCGTGAAAAATAAGAAATGTGTCAATAGAGGCCTTTCATTGGTCTGTCTTAGCTCATGATAGGCGGATCACGTAGACAACAAAATGAATGTAACTACCAATAATAATTTGATAGAGCTAATTAATGAACAGCTTATAGCCTGGAAATAGTTAATATCTCTTATTTAGATATGGAATAAACTAAGAAACTGACCATATATTAGGCCTGAATAGAATTCAGTAAATTTCAAAAGTATAAACTATACATGTTCCACAATGCAATTAAATAGGAAGATAATGATAAAAGATTCAAAAAGAAAAACTTCCAGAAGACACTTTTTAAAGTATCATAAGCAACTCAGCTTAAGGAGGACATAAAGATTTGTTACAGAACATCTAAAAAGAAAAATCAATGCACAGAAAACCTATAGGCTGAATAATAAAGTTAATAAACATAAAATGAACAAAATATATAGCTCTAGAAATTAGAAACAAAATGAGAAAATAGAAGAAGGAATTGGTGAGAATAAAATTCAAGTCAGTGAGTTAGAACGCAGAAAAGGAGAGCTAATGCAGAGCTGCTGTTTCATGTCTCTCTCTGTCTTCTCTTTTTCTTTCTTTCCTTCTTTATTGGTTTAAAATCTAGGAAGAGAGAGGGAGAAGTAGAATAAATAGCCGGAATTAGCGTATGTTAATATTTTGTCACTTTGCTTCAATTTTTTTCAATAAAATAATTAGAATAGTGCAGATACTCTGTCCCCAGAGGCACTCACTCTCATGAATATTAAGTATGTCCGTAGAGTCCATGGTTTTATATTTTTACCACACAGATTTGTATGTATAAACATTACATAATGCTGCTGTGTTTTAGGATTTTAAATAACTGGGAACTTAATGGGCTTACAGTCTTGCACCTCCCTTTTTCTCCACTCTGCATTATGTTTTCAGGACAATTCATGTTAGTATATGTATTC